GGTCTGTTTTGGGGTGCAGGGTCTGTTTTGGGGGGTTCAGAGTCTGTTTTTGGGGTGCTGGGTCCGTTTTGGGGTGCAGGGTCTGTTTTTGGGGTGCAGGGTCTGTTTTAGGGTTGTTGGGTCTCCTTTGGGGTGTCAGGGTCTGTTTTTGGGGTGCTGGGTCTGTTTTGATGGTTCAGGGTTTGTTCTGGGGTGCAGGGTCTGTTTTAGGGTGCAGGGTCTGTTTGGGGGATCCTGGGGCTGTTTTTGGGATGCTGGGTCTGTTTTGGGGGGTACAGGTTCTGTTTTGGGGTGCAGGGTCCATTTTGGGGTGCAGGGTCTGTTTTTGGGTTGCAGGGTCTGTTTTAGGGTTGTTGGGTCTCCTTTGGGGTGCAGGGTCTGTTTTGGGGATTCAGGGTCTGTTTTTGGGGTTCAGGCTCTGTTTTGGGGTTCAGGGTCCATTTTGGGGTGCAGGGTCTGTTTTGGGGATTCAGGGTCTGTTTGGGGGTTCAGGGTCTGTTTTGGGGTTCAGGGTCTGGGGGGTGCAGGGTCTGTTTTTGGGTTCAGAGTCTGTTTTGGGGGTACAGGATCTGTTTTGGGGGTGCTGGGTCTGTTTGGGGAGATTCTGGGTCTGGTTTTGTGGTGCTGGGTCTATTTTTGGGGTGCTGGGTTTGTTTTGGGGGTACAGGCCGTGTTTAGGGGTTATGGTCCTTGTTTTTGGGTGCCAGCCCTGTTTCGGGGTACCGACCCTGTTTTTGGGGTACCAACCTCGTTTTGGGGTACAGTCCGTGTTTTAGGGGTGCCAGCCCTGTTTTAGGGTACAGACCCTGTTTTGGGGTACAGACCCTGTTTTGGGGGTACAGGCCCTGTTTTGGGGGTACAGGCCCCGTTTTGGGGTGCCAGCTTTGTTTTGGGGCACCAGCCCTTTTTTGGGGGTAGAGACCCTGTTTTTGGGGTATAGACCCTGTTTTTGGGGTACAGGCCCTGTTTTGGGGTGCCAGCCCTTTTTTGGGGGTACAGACCCTGTTTTTGGGGTATACACCCTGGTTTTGGGGCACCAGCCCTGTTTTGGGGTACCAGCCCTGTTTTTGGGGTACAGGCCGTGGTTTTGGGGTACAGACCCCGTTTTTGGGGTGCCGTCTCTGGTTTTGGGGTGCCAGCTCTATTTTGAGGGTACAGACCCTGTTTTGGGGGAGCTGCAGCCTTTCACCCTCTCGGGGTCTCACCTGTGGGTGCCCCAGACTCGGGGGGGCTGTGACACCCCCCCCCCCCCCCCCGGGGGGGGCTGCCCCCCCAAACAGCCCCGGGGGGGGGGGGGGCTCCGGGGGGGGCAGCCGGGGGGAGCGGGGACACCCCCGGGCTGATTTTGGGGGACACCTCTGAGCTGATTTTGGGGAGGGGGACACCCCCCCCGAGCTGATTTTGCGGGGGACACACCCCGGGCTGATTCTGGGGAGGGGGACACCCCCCCCGAGCTGATTTGGGGTGGACTCACCCCCGAGATGATTCTGGGGGACACCTGGGGCTGATTTTGGGGTCTCTCTGCAGGTGATCGTCATGTCGGGCCACGAGACCATCCGGGTGCTGGAGGTGGGGGTGGACACCCCCCTCCCGGCCCAGGGGGACCCCAAAACCGCCGTGGAGGGGGCGGGGGGAGCCCCCGGACAGGGGGGCCCCCCGAGGGGGGAGGAGGGTCCCCCCAGCACCCCAAACTCGGCCGGAGGGGAGGCGGCAGGTGAGAGACACCCCCCCCATTCCCGGGAACATTTGTGGGGTGCCCCCAGATCGACCTTCCCGGGATCATTCCCTGGGCTGTCCCTGGATTGTCCTTCCCGGGATCATTCCCTGGGCTGTCCCTGGATTGTCCTTCCCGGGATCATTCCCTTGGGATGCCTCTGGTCCCGTCCCCTGTCCTGTCCCCTCCCCTGTGCCCTCCTGTCCTCTCCCCCATCCCCTATCCCTGTCCCCTGTCCCCTCCCCTGTCTCCTCCCCCGTCCCATCACCGTCCCATCCCCTGTCCCCTCCCCTGTCCCCTCCCCTGTCCCATCCTGTCCTGTCCTGTCCTCTGTCCCCTCCCCTCTCCCCTGCCCTGTCCCCCATCTCCTGTCCCCTCTCCCTGTGGGGAGATGTCCCTTCCCAGGGGGGCAGAATTTGGGGGCCCTTCCCCCCCCTCGCCCTGTGGAGGAGGTGCCCCTTCCCCGGGGGGGGCAGAATTTGGGGTCCCCTCACCCTCCTCACCCCTGTGGGGGTGTCCCTTCCTGGGGGGACAGATTTTGGGTTCCCCCCGCCCCCCTCACCCTGTGGGGGGGTGTCCCTTCCTGGGGGGACAGATTTTGGGTTCCCCCCGCCCCCCTCACCCTGTGGGGGGGTGTCCCTTCC